TGAAATCTTTTGGGGGGGAGTAAACATAAAAAACTAAAATAATGTGGTTGCATAAGTGTGCACACCCTCTTATAACTGGGGATGTATCTGTGTTCAGAATTAAGCAATCAAATTCTAAATCATGTTAAATAGGAGTCAGTACACACCTGCCTCATTTAAAGTGCCTTTGATTAACCCCAAATAAAGTTCAGCTGTTCTAGTAGGTCTTTCCTGACATTTTCTTAGTCATATCCTACAGCAAAAGCCATGGTCTGCAGACAGCTTCCAAAGCATAAGAGCGATCTCACTGATAAAAGGTATAAGTCAGGAGAAGGGTACAAAAGACTTTCCAAGGCATTAGATATACCACACAACAGTGACATTACCAAGAACTGGACGTCCCTCCAAAACTGATGAAAAGACGTGAAGAAAACTGGTCTGGGAGGCTGCCAAGAGGCCTACAGTAACATTAAAGGAGCTGCAAGAATATCTGGCAAGTACTGGCTATGTGGTACATGTGACAACAATCTCCCATATTCTTCATATGTCTAGGCTATGGGGTAGAATGGCAAGACGGAAGCCTTTTCTTACGAAGAAAAACATCCAAGACGGGCTAAATGTTTCAAAAACACATCTGAAGTCTCCCAAAAGCATGTGGGAAAATGTGTTATGGTCTGATGAAACCAAGGTTGAACTTTTTGTCCATAATTCCAAAAGATATGTTTGGTGCATTAACAACACTGCACATCACCAAAAGAACACCATACCCACCGTAAAGCATGGTGGTGGCAGCATCATGCTTTGGGGCTGTTTTTCTTCAGCTGGAACTGGAGCCTTAGTCAAGGTAGAGGGAATTATGAACAGTTCCAAATACCAGTCAATATTGGCACAAAACCTTCAGGCTTCTGCTATAAAGCTGAACATGAAGAGGAACTTCATCTTTCAGCATGACAACGACCTAAAACATACATCCAAAGCAACAAAAGAATGGCTTCACCAGAAGAAGATCTGAAGAAGGCTGTGCACAAGAGATGCCCTCGCAATCTGACAGATTTGAAGTGTTTTTGCAAGGAAGAGTGGGCAAATATTGCCAAGTCGAGATGTGCCATGCTGACAGACTAATCCCCAAAAAGATTGAGTGCTGTAATAAAATCAAAAGGTGCTTCAACAAAGTATTAGTTTTAGGGTGTTCACACTTATGTATTTATTTGTTACGGGGACTTATATAGCGCCGTCATTTTTTCATTCACATCAGTCCCTAACCCTCAAGGGCGTACAATCTAAAGTCTCTAACTCACATTCATTCACACATACACATACTAGGGCCAATTTAGAGAGGATCCAATTAACCTACCAGAATGTCTTTGGAGTGTGGGAGGAAACCCACGCAGGCACAGGGAGAACATGTAAACTCCAGGCAGGTGGTGCAATGGTTGGGATTCGAACCAATGACCCTAGTACTGCCAGGCGGAAGTGCTAACCATTTAGCCACTTTTGCAACCATATTATTTTGTGTTTTTATTTTTACTTCCCTCCACCTAAAAGATTTCAGTTTGTTGTTCAACTGAGTTGTACAGTTTATAGGTCACATTAAAAGGTGGAAAAAGTTCTGAAATGATTTATCTTTGCCTCATTTTTTTACATCACAGAAACCTGACATTTTAACAGGGGTGTGTAGACTTTCTATATCCACTGTAACACATCAGAAACCATATTATTTTGTATCTCGCTATCTCCTGTCTGATAAGTGTTTATAAATACTGTGTCAGATGGTCCATTTTTGAGAGTGACAGCAGCTTCTACAGTTTCTGTATTTACACATCAGCTCCCAGCTATCATTTTGACAGTCAAGAATAGGTGGCAAGTGCAAGGGGAGAGGTATCGGTGCAAAAGGATTACATTTTTTTCTGTATTATTCCCGGTGTCCACAGCTGGTTAAATACAATAACAAACATATAAAAACATAAGTATGTAAAATGTGAAGTCGCATAAAATTTCCATTTTGTAAAATAGAAACGGGGTTAGAACCTCTGCTAGGTTTTGAATGATGTATGTGTTCCCATTCAGGAAATTCTTTTGTCGGGTTTAAATGCTGTCCATGTCCTGGTGAAGAGATGTTTCACTCGCATTTAGTATGACACTTCTCACGTTGACAGGAAGTGAGAAGAAATAAAATTCTAACAGAGTTTCTAACCCTTACACATGTTATTGCTGCCATTTGGGGGATTTTTCTTTTCCGTCTGAATGCCCATTAAACAGACATGAAGTTAGGAGTAATCTCCAAAATAATGGACACAGATGGGAATTAAAAGTTAACAACCCATCCTCACACCATCCAAAAAAAAGTTTTATCTGGAGCTGAACTTGGTGGAAAGGTCTTTAATCAAATATTTACAAACAGTATATAAATGTTAGTATTAAGCCATCATTGACCACTGTAGTTGTAGGCATTATGCAGCCATTCATCCTCAGGTGACAATGCTCACTGTATACATGCAGCAGCAGCATTGTTACCTTCTCTGTCCCATCTCTATACCATGGGGGAGCCCTGTAGTTCACTGACAGAACTTGGGAATAATGCTTATTGATAACCGTGCAGCAGAGGCAGAGAACACATGAAGCTCAGCTCATCAGTGGTTATTGCTCTGTGCTTATTTAACAGATAAAACAAAATGATTTCAATTAAAGCAGAACTCCAGTATAAAAGTTTTTTGAGATACAGCAATTAATAAAATAATTTACCAATAATGAAGAGTATCCTATGTCCCGCTGGCTGCTGGTTAATATACAAATTCCCCCTTTAGTGAAGCCAGATATTACACATACATCTTTTGGCGGTGCGGGGATGAATAGCTGTGGCTGAGACAGTAAATAAATCTAGTAATTTACCCTCCCTTTCTTCTCTGATCATCCAATTACAAAATTCCTTATAACCTTTTTACAGAATGCATTAATCTGCCACTCCCCACATTCATTCACAGAACATCTTGTATTCTGTGAAAAGGTCACAAGAAATTTTCTGATGAGTGGAGATGAAAGGGAGGGCAAATAATGGGATCCTTCTTGCAGAGGCCTCTCATCCCCACAGCACTGCAAGATCACCACTATGTACAATACTGGCATTACTGAAAGATATGTACGAGGTGTGACAATTGAATTCCTGGAATGCCCATGGCATAGCCCTATGAAGCCCTTTAATGTGCTCTGACATGTTCGAAATTGCAATCACCTGGGTCGCAGACCAGTTTACTCAGTCTTAACATCAAATTGTGTTCCATGAGTGTGAGTGGAACTTTGGCTCTGTTACAACAGGCTTATGGTAAAACATTCCTTGAAGAAATCAAGTGTTTCTGAATGGCATAGGGGGTTTAAAGAAGGCTGAAAGATGCCTACAATGACACAAGAAGTAGGAAGCCAAAAACGCAAAGGACGGATGCAAATGTGGAAGATTGAAAAGTTTACGGCAATCTGTTAGGACGAAAGACCGGAACTCTGGCCTGACAAGTGGATTCTCCATCAAGACAATGCTCCTGCACATGATGAGTTAAGTGCTAGCGAGTTCCTAGCCCAGAGATCCATTCCAAAACTTGACCAAACACCTTATTTCTCTGATTTAGCACCCTGTGGCTTTTGGCTGTTTCCAAAATTAAAACATGCCTTAATTTGCTATGCAATGTTCCAGGAAAAGAATTCCAGGAATGTTTCTGGCAGTGGCACAGTTGTCTAGAAAAGTATGTTGCTTAACAAAGGAACTACTTTAAAGGTCACACCATCTGCTAGTTGGTAGGTAGGCAGATAGTCCATTCCAGGTATTACATTTTCACATCTCGTACAGTAGCCAATAGGGCATAGAATAATCTTTATTAGAAGTAAATTTGACTACTGCTGTATCCCAAAGAAAAAAAAAAAAAACTACTAGAGTTTATCTTTAATAGTCCAAATTTGAGCAATACATTGTTATCTTTGCAAATGCCTAAAAGTCCACAGCAAAAGCAATGAAGCTATTCACGTCATTCTTTCAGCAATCCAGCTCACCCTGTTGCCCCCTGCCAGCATGGAGATCCTTCTGAGTTTCTGCTATGAAATTTATGGATGAATTGTTCCATACTGCCTACAGCTACATACGTCAGTGAGGGCTTGTTTTACAGCGCATTTACTTCTTGATAAGAATATCTGAATTTCAATAGTCTGTCACCAATTCACTGCAATAATAACTCAAACATGTGCTCAGTAAAAATGCTCTGTATTCTCCTTCTCTTTCTATGCTAGTTGCCTATTATCACAATTATATTTTTATTTCAAACGTATTGATTTGTGTTACGTTTTCTTAGCAGCAAACACAAATAAAATGATTTCTGAAATGCCTTTTACAACAGAGACATCAAATTGACAATCAGATTTACTTTGGGTATTTGTCCGTTCTCAAGTGACCATTCATTATATTAGCAAAGAGCGCCATTTCCATTTCAGACACAAATCATACACACTACAAAGATTGAAAACAGCACATAACCAAGTTTTAAAAAGCCAAGGGTACGAAATGACATTATCAATATTTATCTTTAACACACACACATGCTACAACAATAATTACAAGCTCTATAAAATATTATATACTCTCATATCTGGAAGGTATATGCAACTCGAAGGACTGAGCCAATGGATCGCAAAGGTCAGAAAATGCATTATTAAAAAAACAAAATTATACCAACGAGACGTTTGACTATTAGGAGAATATATGTTAATATTTTATTACAAAACATCAGGAGCAGAGAAGGGTATTTTTTTCATCTAGTTGTGTCAAATATTACAAAAAAAATATTAATTAAATTGTGGGATATAATATGTCTGCTGAATGCTTGTAATTTGTATCCTGACATTAGGACATCATGGAACTCTGCTAGCTAATCCCTTTACATACACTATGTTGCCAAAAGTATTGGGACACCCCTCCAAATCATTGGATTCAGGTGTTCTAATCACCTCAATGGCCACAGGTGCATAAAATCAAGCACCTAGGCATGCAGACTGCTTCTACAAACATTTGTGATAGAATGGGTCACTCTCAGGAGCTCAGTGAATTCAAGAGTAGTATTGCGATAGGTTGTCACCTGTGCAATAAGTCCATCTGTGAAATTTCCTTGCTGCTAAATATTCCACAGTCTACTGTTAGTGGTATTATAACAAAGTGGAAGCAACTGGGAACAACAGCAACTCAGCCATGAAGTAGTAGGTCACGTAAAATGACAGAGCGGGGTCAGCGCATGCTGATACGCACAGTGAGCAGAAGTTGCCAACTGTCTGCGGAGTCAATAGCTAAAAACCTCCAAACTTCATGTGGCCTTCAGACAGGCACAACAACAGCTGCATTCAAGCCTTACATCACCAAGTGCAATGCAAAGCGTTGGATGCAGTGTTGTAAAGCACACTGCCACTGGATTCTAGAGCAGTGGAGACATGTTCTCTGGAGTGATGGAGTCACTTCTCTGTCTGGCAATCCGATGGACATGTCTGGGTTTGGCGGTTGCCAGGAGAACAGTGCTTGCCTGACTGCATTGCGCCAGGTGTAAATTTTGGTGGAGGGGGAATTATGGTGTGGGGTTGTTTTTTAGGGGTTGGGCTTGGCCATTTCATTTCAGTGAAGGGAATTCTTAAGGTGTCAGCATACTAAGACATTTTGGACAGTTTCATGCACCCAACTTTGTGGGAACAGTTTGGGGATGGCCCCTTCCTGTTCCAACATGACTGTGCACAAGTATACAAAGGTTTATAAAGACATGGATGAGTGAGTTTGGGGTGGAGGAACTTGACTGGACTGCACCTCAACCCCATAGAACATTTTTGGGATGAATTAGAGCAGAGACTGCGAGCCAGGCCTTCTCATCTGACATCAGTGCCCTGACCTCACAAATGCGCTTCTGGAAGAATGATCAAACCTTCCCATAGACACCCTCCTAAACCTTGTGGACGGCTTTCCCAGAAGAGTTGAAGCTGTTATAACTGCAAAGGTTGGGCCAATTCAATATTGAACCCTATGGACTAAGACTGGGATGCCATTAAAGTTCATGTGCATGTAAAGGCAGACGTTCCAATACTTTTGGCAATATAGTGTATATGCCACTATTCTGAATGTCACAAAATCGGAGAAGAAAAATGCACGGCAGGGTATTCCCTGGCTTCAACACCACTCACACTCAGGACTTACTCCAACCTAATTAACACACCTTGGCGCAGTACTTCTCAACCGGGGGTTTCATGGAATCCTTTGGTTCCTTCAGTTGTTAAACTAGGTGAGTATAACATGTTTATTATTGTAATTAGAAAAAAAACAGAGTATAGTAGCACTTTAATGTGGTTGTAAACCCTTATATATACCCAGTGATGTGACTGGCCTTATGTTAGAGGTTTACAACCACTATAACTACTAGCTGACAGCACTATAGCCAAATGATGGCTACAGCCTGATCTCCCAGTTCTAAAAGGACATCTACTGACATCTTCCCAGAATCCTGACCAGTGTTAACAGATTTGGCAGTTATCGGCAGTCTTTTCCTCATCGGCTGTGACAGCATGTAAGAAAAATTACTTATTTCCAAAATTTTCTAACAGAAATGAAAAAAAAAAATTTTTTCAAAGTTTTCGGTCTTTTTTTGTTTGTTTAGCAAAAAATAAAAACCTTAGTGGTGATTAAATACAACCAAAAGAAAGCTCTGTCTAAAAAAAAATGATAAAAATTTAGTGGATACGGTGTTACATGACCGCACAATTGTCATTCAAAGTGTGACAGCACTCAAAGCTGAAAGTTGGCCTGGCCAGGAAGGGGGTGAAAGTTCCCAGCAGGCATGTCACTTTAAGAAAGATACTTGCAGGCACCAAGAGCTGCTTTTACTTTGGTCACTTTTTTAGGTCTGCCATGTTCCCTTTAAGCGTTATGTTCCCCTTCCCACATTTCATAATGCATAAAGTTCAGTTCTGGTAATGTGTGGCATTCGTTATCACTTTGGGTGACACCATTAACACTCGCTGACAGCCTAAAGCACAAGAACAACTGTCAAAATATTCTACATCTGGCTTCACTGTGTCATCCCCTGTAAGGTCACAAAGAGTATAAGCACTGTCAATTACAATATTTTTCTGATCAAGATAACTCCTGCAAGTTACACCGCAAGAGTTCACCGCGCGAACATGAAAAATTAATTTCTGTTTCAATAACTTAAGTTAATAAGACATTCACAACGAAGAAAAGAAAAAAAAAAAAGTAGGTAAAGATATCTCATGTTGGCAAAACAATTATTTCGCTCAGTCGTTCTACTAAAAGGTATTAAGAAACAAATTAAATTTCTATATCTGTATTCTGTGTCTCTGCTGCATAATGCTTTCCTGCACTATCTGAAGAAAGTGAATTATTAAGAAATAAATACATAAGCTAGAAAACAGCAATATATTTTCCTTTTTTAATTAGCATTTACTTAGCATGGTGGCGATTTCCTATTATGTATTCTTTAACCAAGTTATCATAACAGGTATGCAGGCAGATCAAAGTCTTGCATGGATAGAAAATATACAATTTATAAAACTATTAAGCAGGCCAAAGACTAGGAAGTAGATAACTAGATATAAATATACAATGCTTTAAAGGGTATGTGCAGTTTTATTTTCTTTTAGAAAAGTGAAGAATTATATGTGGTAAATTAAAATTCTAATTAAACCTTTTTTATAGGCTTGGATCCAGGGGCAAGGAGTAAGGGCTCATGCACATTGGCAAACGGTACTGTAATTTATACAGATCTGAATGCAGCAGTATTGAATGTGTAGCACCCTCATTGGTAGATTGCTAGAAAGGTTAGGTACATTTTGTTCTGTTGAGCTTCTCTGGAAACAATAGAGCACCTTGTGATGCTTTTGGGCTGTTCTATGTTTCATTGGCTGTAGGTTTGAATATTTGCCCCTGCCTTCTGGAGGATTCTAGAATATATTGGATTGAAAAGAGGCAAATTGGCATCCTGACTATTTATGTTGTCTTGGCCAATCCCTGGGGGAGGGTGCCCAGTAGGTGGCTCAGAAGTGCATAAATAGTCTGGGGTCTGGGGCAGCCCTGTTCTCATCCAGGAGAAGAAGATCACAGCCTGAAGAGCTGCTGCCCTTCTGGGCAGTCCAGCTGCACTTCATTTGCTCATCAAAGTCTTAGCTGTGTTAGCTGGGGTACCTATTCTACTGAACTTTGTTGGAGCTGACTGAGGGATTTATTCAGGGATCTGGTCTGAATAGTTCATGGGAGACATGTCTGGCTGATACCGGAAAGAGGCATCCAAATATCCAAAGAAATTTGTAAGTACAGACCGGTGTGAGATCCCAGCAACTGTGAGCTGCTGATATCCCTCTCATGCTGACAGGTGGACATTTCTTATGGTCTCCCTGTCTAGTTCAGTCCATTCTTTGCCATTGCAAGAACTGTGCTAAAAAACTTTGAGAAAGAAGAAAGTGTTCTCAAGTTGCTACTTTATGTTGATGGAGTATCACAGTTACCCTGCACCCCATCTTATCTCAAGTTTTAATAACACATCATCCAAAGGATTCCCCTAGACTATTTACTGAGCCAGAAGAGTGACTGAGACTGTTTGCTTGGCTTTGGATACACTAGCTTGTGAAAGGACCTTGGGACTACTCAGTGGGTCCTTTAGGGGGTGAGCGCTACATATGCTGTGGGTCTATTCTGTCTTGGAAATTCGCTTTGAACGGATTTCTCCTTACCGTGAGTACTCGCAGTTGGATGCGCAGAAATCCCCCATAAAGCTGTGCGAATCTCGCTTACCACGACTGCAGCTAAACTACACGATTCCTGCCCCTCCAACTGATTTAGCTCTGTTGAGATGTGGGTAAATGGAGCTCCCTATACCCAGGAATGATCAGGCGACACTCTCAGGTTGCTGTTGGAATTCACAAAGAGCCGGATCCAACTCCAGCCTCCGATTTTTATTTACAAGCAAACACATGCCCCCCTCATGAATAAGGTCAATCCCCTCCCACAGAACAATGCATGGGGAGTGCCTATACACAGGATGTACATTCCGATTGGAGCGTAGCCTTTCCTATTATCTATCACTGGTCCTCCCCCATGAGCCCTCTGAGGTCAGCAGAATTCCTGTCCTAGCTCCTAGTGGTATGTAAATTCTCTGTACAAGCATCCCCTAGAAACATCAGTCTGTATCTGGATGGGCCCAATACGATCTTTATTAAAACACATCCATCCAGATACAGTTTCAGGTCGGTAGTGGTTTGTAAGACATACATGAGCCTACACACGGAGTTCGCACTGCTTGGCGCCTTGCGGTACGGAGTCCATGTGGTACTATGCTGCTGATGATATGTGGATACAGGCCCGCGGCCTACCGCCGGCGGCATTCGTATCGAATGCCGTGGTGGTATACACGCCGGTCTATAAGCGCAGATCTGCCATCTCATCCATTACTGAGCTGAGTACTGTAATACATACATTGTACATGCGCATGGCCCAATTGCAGCCTTCAGAGCTTTAATTAAGCCACACGAGAGACATATGAATAACACTAATATATTACACATTTAAGGTTCAACCAAAAATACAAAATTTCCATGACAATTCATACAGCTCGAAATTGCTACGAAAAATTTGTGTTCACAGTCTGACTTTGTTCATATTTTTCTCTGTACCCATGGAAATGTGATACAGTTTACATCTGTGCAGAGTAAATGGACCTTATCTTCAGCTTCTGCTGCCTAGTGAATTCAAGGCCAACATGTAAACACCAACAATGTGTAGGCAGCGGTGGCAGTGCAGGCGCAGAATGACAATGACCTTTCTGAATGACTGAAAGCCCAAGGTCATTCTGCACAGGTCCTGCTGAATACACTATTGATGTTTACATCTCCCCTGAAGAAGGCATTGATGCGCCTGAGCTGCTGCCACGTTTGACTCATTCAGGGGGAGATGTAAATATCAATAGCAGCAGCTCAGACACAGAGTGTACTCTTCTAAACTCATACGGATTTACAGGATACGTTCACCTTTGATAACATGTTACATCCATATTCAGGGTGAAACATGCAACATGTTATACAATGACCAGCCCCCGCTCCCCCATTTTGACAGCTAGCGGGAAATCTTACCCCCCCATCCCACTAGCTGTCAAAATTCACAGCCAAGGCCATGGCACTCATTTACAGTGTTCTGCGAATGAGAAATTACAGGTCCCAACAGCCTTAGGGGCTGTCAGCCCGTAGTTCTCAATGAACTGCCACACCGCTGTGAGCACTGTGGTAGTTCATTGATGCTTCCTGTCAGTAAGTATCGGCTTGCCTGTATGAGGTACAAGCACACAGATACACTGACAGGTCTGCAGGAGTCCTGCATGGCACCATCCATCTGATGATTGCCGGTGCAATAACTTTACAGACTTCTACAACAAAAATAAATGCA